TATTGTGTGCACCTATATTTAATTTTATAGTATATGTTTACATGTATATAATATAAGGGTTTGATTATATATTAAATTGTATAAGTATATTAAAAAAGTTTAAAATTCTTATCATTGAAAACGTACTTCTTATCTAAAAATTTATATCAAATATCAATTAAATTTTATAATGTGGTAAAGAAATCTATAGAATTTCTTCAAACAAAAAATTTAATAATTTTAGTGTAATGTATACGCTCTTAAATATCGAAGCTTACTTACTTTTCAAATTGAAAATATATTAACAGAAAGTTTCGCGAGAGTTTTATTAAATTTTGAATCAAACTGAAATTCAGTTGTTAATTAATTTTAAATTTTAATTACTTAGAGGAGAAAACAAAAAAAAATGTCTCAGTGTTTAGTTAATCAAAATTCATGCAATTACCCTTTTTACAATAACACAAATTATAATTTTGTTCAAAATAACAACAATCATAATAATTTGACAAAAAATAGAGTACCATTAAATCAAAATATGTTACCCCAGTGTATATCACAACCGAATGGATTAAATTGTTCCATAAACAATGTACAAAATGGATATCAATGCTATAATGATTATAATCCAAATGGTTATTCAAATTATATTATTCATAATGGCAGCACTGTTTCAAGTTGCTTGGAAAAACCAGAAATAAGTTATAATATTCAACAAAGGCAACAGCAACAACAACACAAAGAAAATTATTTGTATTCCGCACCGTCCCAATCACAAATACAACCCACATTACAGTCAATATCACCACCACAACAACGATGTGGTATCAATGAAGTTATACAAATAGGTTGTAATGTAGGACAGAATTGTGATAATACAATTATAGTTCAAAATTTTCCAAATAGTTGTAATAATTTTATTGCCACATCATCTATTCCAAATTCTCGACCTCCTCCTCAACCACCTTTTGTACTACCGCAAACTAGAATTAATGTAACAGCGGCACCACCTTATTACGAGAACATCAATGGACCGTATGCACCCTGTCAAGTAACAAAACCTTGGACTTATGGTTATTGTTATGGTTATTATGGCGAAGCGCCATGTCAATTTATTGATTGTGACGATATGGAAGATTTTATGTGAGTTAAACCTTTCATATATGAAAGAAAAATTGTAATCAATATATGTATGTTAATTAGTATGTATATAAACAAGGAAAGTAATAAATAACTCCTAAGTTGTATATGAAAATCTAATATTGATAACAATTCTGAATTAGCAGGAAGATAACAATATGTCTGTGCTAATTTTTATTTGTAGTTTATATTATATACCATCGATATATATTATATACCATCGATATTAGTGTTACCAATACTCAAAACCTAATCTCCCGCATAGTTACATATTGTTTTTTGATATTGCTTGCTTTTATATTAGATTTTCAAGTACCTGTAATGTATGTATGTACATATATGTATGTTTAATAAAAGTTTAATTAATTTTAATTTAAATTTTTAGAAAATTTTTGGGAAATTTTATATGTTTTTTTTTTTCAAATTTACTCACGATGCTAACAGTTAGCATTTGCAGCAATGTTTTAAATCTTCTGAAAGTCATTTAGTTTTGCACATTTCAATTTTTTAAGCAAATTAAATTAGAGTTTGATGCTGCTGCAACTAATGCAAGCATTTTGGATATTTTCAACGCCTGAATAATTTTTGAATATAGAAAAACACGTATACCGTAAAAAGTTTAACTCGTAATCGCTTTATTTAAAATAGTCAATTTATTATAAAAATTTGCTCGCTACCTAAATATTGTAATTGACTTTTGAATAATTAATTATATTTAAATTGAAAAAAAAAATTATTTATTAAATTCTGAGAAAAAGTTTGAACATACATATACATACATACAAGGTGTTTCGCATGGGGGTAATAAATTTCGAGTTTTTAAAAAAAATTAAAAAAAAAACAAAAATATAAACTTTGACGAGCTTTAGGGTCAAATCAAATTGATTGTAAGACCGCACATAAAGAGCAATCAATCACAAGTAAAACCAGCCACCTTATACGAAGATGGTTACTCTATGCCGTACGGTTCCGAAGTTATAAGGATTTATTAATATGCAGAGAAAATCTGGTATCTTTATTTCAACAGTATGTAGCCCTCCCCTACCCACACAATTTTTTGCTGGAAATTGATCAAAGATTGATCCCTGAAATTATTTGCCATCTTGTGTGAAACACCCTGTATACGATACTCATATTCCGTCGCGATTTGTTATGCAAATTATAAATGCATTATGTAAATTCAATTTGCTTATATTTTGAATAAACTTTTTTAATTGTTTGACACTGTAATTTGATACACTGTAAATTGAGTCGCCAAACGAAAAATCGTTTAATATTGCTACATGTAAACACATGTTCTTTTAAATAAATCAAAGTTGCTACCGCTTTACAAGTTTTTAATAATATATGTATATACGTACAAACATAATGGAAGTATTACAATTTGATTTAAAAAGTATGTTTATTTTTAGGCAAAAATTTGTGCTTGTTTTCACATTCCGGAAGTAAAAAATAATTAACGTTTAATTTAAAAAAGTTAATTTTTCAGATTTGTTTTCTAATTTCCCAAAAAAAAGCAAAATTTTTTAAATGTACATAATTTCTTTTAAGTAACCCTCAGGGTTTTAATACAAATACCCTATACAAAAGTATTCATAATATAAAATCTGTGTTTTTTAAAACTGTGCATGCAGTGAGTCTGTATTATTATCCTATAAATATTATATCTCAAGAGAATAATTTCTATTCTGTTACAAATTCAAAGAATTGACGGATATCTCTGTACTAACGTACGTAGTAAAACATCCAACAATAAACGGTAAATAATGAATACTTCCTTGAAGTTTGTAGATACATTTTTCCAGTATTTCGCCTATATTTCGTAGAAATTGTGTTTTATCGGCTTCTGAGTACTAATTGTGAAAAACACGAGACAAGTTTAAACATTTCTTGCTGAAAATATATAATAAAAAATAAAATTTGAATAAATTCTTCTTGGATTTTATTATATGCAAATCTTGAAATTTGCTTCAATTGAAAATATCTTTTAACAACTCTTCCGTTATCTTCGCGCTACATTATTGTTAACTATAAAGATTTCATTTTAATTTTATTGAATAAGTACTAATATTTTTTTAAATTTTAAATAAACTTTTTGATAGACAGACAAAATTTATGCATTTGTTTCATTTTAAGCAATTGCAAAATATCTAAAATAATTATTTAATAAAAATTATAATTATTTCGTAAGAATTTGAATAATTTTTCGAAAAATGCCGCTACAGTTTCTAAGAAAAATGTGTGCAAGCGCAATTTTATGAATAAAATATAAGTATGCAAGTTAAATTTTTATTGCATATACATTTATACATGTATATCTAGAAATGTATATATATATGTATATTATTGTACTCGCACATTTATAGTCTATGCAATTTGTTTTGAATGTATGTTCAAATGCAAAAAAAAAAAAGAACTTTCATAAAGACGATTTTATGAAAGTGAATCTTATTTGTTTGTTCTTTTGTTTTATTGCAAAAGTGACCTTTAAAATTATGCCTTAGATCACGTATTATAAAAGTTCATTGACGTCGCAAAAATACGTCTCAAGTTATATATGTATATCCTTAAGTAAGTATGTAATAAATTTAAATAAACTGTTTGTTTTTTACAATATGTTTTAATTTCTAATGTGTGCATTACTTAACAATGTATACATTTTAATTGGTCATAATACCATATACATATTAAAATTCGCATAAATTAGGATGATCAGTATATGCTTCCTCTAAAGAAGGATTTCTTGGCGAAATGATGGTTTTCACATCAGATTTGACTTCTTATAATTTAGAATTTTGTTTACTAACTCGAAATTGAAATCGTATTAACCGTTGGACTTTTATGTCAGTTAAAATTTGTGCGCACCCTTTATTATTATTAATTTTTTAAGAGGTGTTACGAGTTTTTTTGTAATTTTAATTAAGTTGTTTCTTTAAAAAAATTTTTGGTAGATGCTTTTCATTTTAGTACAAGTGTGAAAATTTAATCGCTTAATTTACTATTGCAATTTGGGATACTAAATTCAAAAACGGGTTATTTGTATAATAAAGAAATACAAGAATACGTTTGAATAATCTATTATTTACAATAACTATCTTGAGCTAAATTTGCTTATTTTTATATTCGATTAAGATTAATAATGTTTTAATATGAAAACTATTTGACTCATGTAGTCTGCGCTTTACTGCTGATTTTGTTTAAACAATATAATTAAATATTGAATTCTTTTTCGATTTAATTTCAACATGAATTGGCTTTACTACATTATTAAATTAAGTGACTCTTAAAAATTGAATTATAAAATGTTTGAACAAAAATTAAAACTGTGAAAAAATAATAAACGCTGTATAATGTGATGGCCATGATGAAATAAATTGTCCTCTGTTGAAATAATTTATTTGGTAACTCTAAATTTTATATTATTATAAATTTTATGTAAGTTATTATATGAAATTACACAACATATGTATAGTATTTATGTACACATTAGTGTTATAATTAAAAATTCTAAAATGAACTTTATTTCTTTAAAGTACATAAATTTTTGTATGTGTACATAGTTACTTACGTACATGAGAGTATACCAATAGTTTATATACTTATGTGCATATAAGTATGTATGAAAAGCTTTGAATAAAATGTATTTTGTGTATAGCGAGAAATTTTCTTTTTACATTAAACAAATTGATCTTGTATCTGAGTGTTTAGAATCTGTTATATTTTTATTTAAAGAAAAAAACAATTTTTTCCAGTTGCTAATTTTTTTAATGGAAAAATTTAAGTTAATGAATTCTTTATAATATTAATTATAAATAATTTTAGTATCATTTTAATTTATTCAATAAATTTTAATTAATAATTTTTATGTTTGTTTTTGATTTTAGGAGCAATGAGAAAAGGAAGGAAAAGTCTCGTGACGCTGCAAGATGTCGTCGGTCTCGCGAAACGGATTTGTTTACTGAATTGGCAGACGGATTACCAATAAAACGTGAAGAAGTCGAACAATTAGATAAAGCATCTGTTATGAGATTGGCTATATCATTTTTAAAGATTCATGATGTTGTAAAATTTTGTAAGTATAATTTTTATTTTGGTTATTTAAATATAGTGAGGTGTAAGAGAAATAGTAAACATTTTATTATTTTTTTTTTTTGAAATTTTGAACAAATGTTGTGAAAATTAATATTGCAATAAGAAAATTTAATGTATTTTTTTTTGTATATGTAAACAGTTTTGTTAAAATTTTCATTTTGTGATAACTGAGTAATTTTCATAATAGTTATAATATAAATTGTAAAAATATATTTAACAGGTTGTAATTAATTTGTACATAATGCAAGGGCTTTACGTACCCACAAAAAAAAAACGGTATAAGTATAACTTCAAGAAGTAATATTATTGATTTACGTTTTTATAAAGCTTTTGTAATAAAGTAGAAAGAACTTAATTAAAATTTTAACAAAGTAAACATTAAATTTTTGTCCAAACTTTGATTTTTCTATAAATTTATTTTTTTTCAGTTCTTTACAATTAACCTTAGAATATTATTTAAATTTTTAATAAAACGAAATTATTCGGATATTATTTAGAATAAAATAAACTAATGCAATTATTCTTTTTTATTTTAGTCCCAAAAATTAAAGATTTACAAATAAAAGATGAAACAGATAGAAAATGTGAAGATTCTATTCCAGCAGAAGACAATGAAATAAAACCATTTGATCGCTTTTGGAATAATAAAGATACAATAAATTTGATAAATAATTGCTTGGATGGATTTCTTTTGATCTTGTCAAGTGAAGGGGATATCACATATTCATCTGAAAGTATTTCAGATTATTTGGGCCTTTCACAGGTAATAATAGAATTTTAAAAATTTTATTTTAATAAGTACATATTCATTATTTTTATAAAAATTTTATTTTCTTATTTTAGATTGATATACTTGGTAATCCAGTATGGGAATATATTCACCAATGTGACCATGATGAATTAAAGGAAGCATTAAATGTTCGTAAAAATAGTTCACAAGATACTATTAAAGAAGAAAATGATAAAGAGCAACAAGATTTTAAAACATGTCATCGTGATTTCTTTTTAAGATTTAAATGCACACTAACAAGCCGTGGCAGAAGCGTCAATATAAAAAGTGCTTCCTATAAGGTAATATTATTTATTGATCTATTATTAACGGAGTGATTTTTCTGTAATCAAAATTGAAAGTATAAATTTGGTTTCCATATGTATCACAATCATATATACATTTTTATGATAAAAACACAAAGTTTGTAATAGAATTCAAACATTTGATTAGTGTATATTTCAAGAAACACAAATTCAAGTTGAATTCGTAATCCAAGAAATCAAAACTTTATTTAATCCTGTTATTTAATGGCACGATGAATCCCAAATTTTAAGGTGTTCGATATAAATATAATATTTGCGTCCCTAATTTTAAGATTTAAGATAAAATTATATAATATAAAATGATATAATATTTTTCATTTACATTTTAATTCTAATCAAAGATAATTTTTGCATTGCAAGTTTGTTTGCTCATTAAATCCATATTGAAAACAGTATATGTAGCCACTAAATTTTAGCAATTCCGAATTTGTCTTCAAAAAAAATAAATTTGAAAAACGAATTTTGCTTACATATTCATTTAGTTTAGAACGATTTACTATTTGTTATACCCAGATTGAATTCATTCAATTTTTGTTCCATATATTAATTATCTTGTTTAATATAAATTAAGATTTCTGGGCTTTGAAATTAGATAATTTTATATTATGGCTTTGAAATGAGAAAATGTTAAATTAAAATTTTTTTTCAAATAAATTCATTAATTTCATTTATTATGATCATCTTTAATAAATTTTATTTATTATTATTTAGGTTATACATTTAGTTGGTCACATGATTGTAAACAATGAAGGTGAAAAAATTTTAATTGCAATTGGAAGAGCAATTCCTCATCCATCAAATATTGAAATACCGTTGGGAACTACAACATTTTTAACAAAACATTCACTTGACATGAAATTTACATATGTTGATGAGAAGTAAGTTTATATATATGAAACTTAAAATTGTACATTTTAACTTTTTCAGAAAAACTTTACTAAAAAATGTTCTTTTATTTTTTAGAATGCAACAAGAATTGAACTATAAAGCCGATGATTTGCTTGGTAAATCTTTATACAATTATCATCATAGTTGTGATTCAGAACAGCTAATGGCAACCTTTAAAAGTGGTAAGTAATTTTTTTTATAATACTGTTGTAAATGGGATTTTCCATTCTTTGACTTTCAGAATAACTTGCTTCAAATAGGGCTTTCCTACAAAATTTTCAATGACTTTCCAAAGTTTTTTTTGTTGCATTAAAATTTCCTTATGCGTCAATACATTCTAATCAAAATGAAAACCACTTAGGCACTTAGTTGTTTTTATTCGAAAATTGGTTTTATTAATATTTTCACTGTTAATATCAATTTCATGAGAGTGACGGTTTTCCCTAAAATACTTGACTTGACAATTACTTTTCTTCAAATTTGATGTAAAGAGATTGCGGATAATTTTTTGATTAGATAGTATTAAAATTGTAAAATCAGATTTTGTAGTTTCTTGTTTGACCCTACTCCTAATTTTTATAAATCGAGAATTACCCAACGGCATAGGTGGCATGTATAGATATTAGTAAAACTGAATTTATGAATCCGAAATGAAAGTAGGTAAAAATGGTATTTTTTGTAGCGTTTAAAAAGAAAATACACTTTGATAAGGTGGCGTATTTAATGCAAAAAATATGTACAAAGATCTATTTTAGTAAATTGCAATAATTGTATTAATTATACAGGCTCATACTTAAGACATTTATTTGGCAACATTTTTTCATAATAAATATACGATTAATTTTTTTATATATTGAATTTCTAAATCCATCAACTTAATAATTTTTTCGATAAGCATATTTGTATTTCAATTGTAGATAGATTTATGTATGCATTCGATTAATGTGTGCCCTTTTGAGACATATTTGAACTTATATTGTTATTTTGATCTACTGTTGTTGAAGATGATTTCTTGCTTGATACCCAAAAAAAAAAAAAGAAATTTGTAAATCTATTTAAAAACACTTGCGGTTGCGTTTATTTTCCAGTTGTATAATATAAAACTCACATATGAATTTTATTTAATTTTTTTTTTATAGTACATAATAACTTTTTGAAGGCAATATTGTTTTTGTTCGGAATTCAGCTTTTTCTAAGAATTTGACACTCATTTAAGAATTTCCAAAGTATAAAGTAAATAAAAACAGATTTTTTTACAAAATATAAATTTTCACCACTTGTTTATTTAGTTCTTATGTTTTATAGAAAAGTTTTTGTTTTGTTTTTAATTATTTAAAAAAAATGTATTTTGGTTTTGACTACCTCAAAAGCTCGTGACTTTTCTTTTATGTTTAGGAAAAAAAAAAATGTTTTTTTTTGTATTTTAATCCACAATAAAATTTTTTTTATTCTGTTTAAATTTGACAATTTGCCCATTTTCTACACCTTATTTTTTACTAATCGTAGTGAACAATAAAAAGTAAAAAATATAAGTAACTTAATGTATTTGTAAAGATTTTTGCTAGCAAATTTTAAAAAACTTAGAAATTTTCTAAAACGGATTTATTTGTTTCTGTGAAGTATTTCAGTTTCTATTGTTAGTTTTCGTTTTAAGAAACTAATTTGTAATTGATGGAGTTGCACATGAATAAATTTAAATAAACAAATCATGTAATAATTGCTTCTTTTGTAGTCGGCTTTTATATAGACAGTTTTGCAGTCTTTTTAGTTGATTAGTATAATTATTTAATTGTTAACTGCAAATTCTGTTGATTTAAAATTTGCACAACTGTTTGTTTTTAGGATTTTTGTTCTTTTGTCGTTTCATAGTTGCAACCTTTAATGTCTAAAGTTTTCAGTTTATTTTAATTAATATTTATACAATTTCCATTCATAAATAATTATTCGCTGAAAAATAATGCCTTAGTATATAATTATTGATAAATTATTCTATTAGACCATTTAATTGATTTAACTGAACGGATATCTGTCTATGCCAAAAACAACACTCATCAAACAATTTCAGAAATACTGAGAAGTGACGCCTCCTTGATTTCTATTAAATGTTTGAATTATTTTTTACTTAGTTGTTTCCTTTGATGTTAAGATTTTGATTTTTTGTTTATATTAATCATTTTTTTATTGTGCTTCCAAAATCGTTGCTTAACCTGTTAAGCGATTATATTTTCTTTAATAGCTCGATTTACTGTGCTCAATTAATTTCAAGGGAAGACGCGTATTTACGAAATTTTATTAACAGGTAAATTTTCGTTTTTTGCTTAACTTTAAATTTTATGGCAAATACAATTTTCTTTTTCGGCATGACGCACATATACGACATTAACTAAAAAATGAACTTTTGAAATTGACGCATATATACGACATAATCTCTTAACAGGTTAATTTGTTGATATACAAAATCGAAAATTTCATTGGGAAAGATTGATGACAAAATTAAAATGGAAGTGTATTATATTTAAGTATATACATACATATTTACAAACATAGAACAATTTTTTTTTCTTCTAACTAGTATCAGTGTAAAACAAAAATTAATATTATTCTGTAGCTTTCTTTTTATAGTTATGTATATAATAATAACAATCACAAGCAAAAAATTAAGACATCATGCCAATTTATTTTTAATTTTATTATGTGTTTGTCACAGAAATAGTTTAAACGTGCTGACCAAATTTAAGTGCTCATCTGATCAATCTAATTTTTTTAATTTTTTTTTTTTGGAGAAAAAAAATTTTTTTTCTTTTATTTTTATTCTTGCTGTTTTTAAATGAACTATGCTTTTGTTACTAATTTTAATTTGGTGATTGTTTTTTCCTCTGGTTTTTAAAAATTTTTGTGCATTATTATAAAATAATTTTGATAAATTATGAATGGCAAATAATTTTTCTATATTAAAAATAGAAATAATTTTTTTTCGTTTTGGAAAAAAGAGTACAAGTTATGATTTGTGACGCGTCCCTTGTTTGTTATTAATTATATTTATTGATGTATCGATTTTGGTAAAAGCATTTGCATGTTTATGTTTTTTGGTTTATACGAATTTTTATTTCTATCAGCTGTTCACCATTTTAAAATTTTAAAATTATAATATATGTACATATGTATGTATTTAATTTAAGTAATTTGTATTTTGTAAGGCACGCGTAAATAGTATGTAGTGTTTTGGGCTAATTCATCTTTATGATTTTGCAACCTTTCTTCTCTTACGAAAAAATATTAATAAGCTGGTCATTACGAAAAACATTAATTTCTAGCCATTCTTTATTAACTATAAAAAAATTAAATTTTTTTTAATTAGTAGATATCAAATTGTATGAGATTGTGCTTATAATTTGTTTAATTTTTCGTTAATTTAGCCCAAACTAAATACTTCTATTTTCGTTAATTTAGCAGAAACTTTCAGATTATTTTTCCTGTTTATCTTGTGTCTTAAGGTATAAATCAAAACATTATTATTAAATTTTGAACAAAAATTAGTTATTCATCGTTTTGATTGAATGTGCAAATTACTTTGCACATTTTAGTGATTTGTTCAAATCATATTAAGATTTGATGTAATAAATAAGACATACTCACATGTTTCAATACTTCTTAACTGCAAATGAAATGGGTTTGGGTGGTATTATTACTATTGTTTTATAATGCACATCCTTATGTTAGTGATAATTGAATTGCCCGTACTGGATAAATAAAAATTGTTTCTTTTTGTGTTCCCCAATTATTTAAATTTCACTCCCTGTATTTCTAATAGAAAGTTTAATATATGAAAATATTTCTGATTACTATTTATATTACAGTATGCTATAAAAGATATACATACGTATATATATAATACACTTATTTTAAATTCCTTTAAATTTACAAGTTATTACGTTTAAACTTATTATCTTAATCTATTCAAATTTATTTTTCATTTAATATTCTTTTTTATTTTTTATTTTTCAAATAAGTGAATCGAATTGAATTATATAGAGTGTGGTTTTATAAAATACTTAATTACTTTAAAATCATTTTATTGTAATAATAAATTCTTTGCACGAGTGCATTTAACAACAATATTTTTTCTAAAGTCATTTCCATTTTATGCAATTTGTTTTAACTAAAAGAAGAAACAAAAGAAAAAAAAAATAATAAGGAACTACATATAAGAAGTTTTGGTCTGATCTAGTATAGGATATTAGCATAGAAATATTTTTTCCTCCATATTTTCGATATTTTGAAATTTGAATGTTAGTAATTTTGAAAAATTAGTAAGATCTTCCAATATCTTAGATCTTATTTTGGTTTTAGTTAAATCATTCTTTTAAAAACTATAAAAAATATGAAATTTAAATTCTGCTTCTTTTTCATTTGTTTGAAAACTCAGTCTCACTGCATTTCTCATTTAATTAGTTTTAATATTTTTGATGTAATCCGCAAATTAATTTGAACATTTTAAGTTTCAGGAATTTCATATCAAGTAATTCTCAAATAAAAGTAGAAACTTGTAAAACTTTAAAATTTGGTTTTCTTAAATTTGAGGTAAACTGAAGAAAGTGAACTGTAATATATTCTTATTTTAAACTTAAACATTTTTAACTTTAAAATATAAAGTTTAACAGTATTCTACTCGTAATTGTTCAGATATTTATAATAACTAAACGATGTTATCAACATCATTTTAAATTGACTATATATACATATTATTTTAAAATATTCTGGGAGTAATGGTAATAATTCGATTGCTACTGCAGTAAATCCAATTGTATGTTTCATCTCCTTCTTTTTTCCGTTCATTCCAATTTTCGAATATCCCTTTTTGTTGTACAACATACATTTGCACATAAGTATTAATCTCTGTCTAAAATATATAATAGTAGATATTTTACTATCTATATAAATGTATTTATAAATGAAATAAAATGTTATGTCTGGTATAAATTTATATAAAAAGTTTTTATAGAACAAAACCGCCAATTTATCTATTCTAATCGATGTAATTTTTTATTTCTTAAAAAAGTTGCAAATCTTTTAATGAATAGCTAGTATTTTAAAATAGAGAAAAATGAAAATTCCATTTATGAATGAATGTTTTCAATGAACATTATTGAAAATAATTTTTGCATTTTCATTGTAAAATTAT